TATTTTGTTGTAAAAATGTAATGTATTAGTAAATTTATGACTTGAAGTATATTCACCCTTTATAAATTTTCGAATAATTCTTTAGAACTATGATCTTAGAATTGTATTGTGATACAGTGTGTTAATTTCGTAATTGTTATTTTGCTATTTTATACTCTTTTTCAAAAACTCCACTAAGTTTTCATTCGCCAAAAATTCCTATAGATTTCCCTGAACTTTGATTACATTTTTCTTAAGCATAAAGTTTATGTGGCATCAAGACTTACATATACAAATGCGATATGTATTCATGAATTTGTATGGTTGCTTTTGGCAACACAGAAACAACAACAAAGTGCATTTTGAGAAACTTATTCCTGTAAATATATTTAATTAAAGTGCTTATTATCTTGCACTGCATTTTAATGAGTTTATCATCCTGACTCCAAATGGCATACATCAGGATGTGTTTGTTTTAACATCGTCTAGTGGTGAATATATGGAAGTGTGGTGGGGGGTGACATCCCTTTCATATCCTCTGCCAAGGTGGTTTGGATTTCTTATTTTAAAATCGTCTTACCAATGAAGAAAAGTGTATACATTTCATTATTTTTATGCATTGCACATGGCCATGCAATTATTTGCCACCAACAGTTTGCTGGGTTACATTTACAACATAAGTAAGATGTATGTATGTAAGTGTGTTCGTGTGAAATATAAATCCACACCAAAAACAAAATAAAAAAATAATACCATTTATTGAAAATATTCGTAGAATGAGTGGCGAAGCCACACTGCAAAATTGTATAAATCCTTGAAATGGCAAACTCATAGCATGAGTGGTTGGTGAAGCATCTAACAAGGCTGAGTCATGAGTAGCTTTCTCATCAGCATCATCTTCATTTTGGGTATCTTTCTCTACTTAAGTCGAGACTTAACTCTCATTGCTACTAAAGTGTAATTAACGACGATTCTGTTGCAATTGTGGCAATTGTTTTGGTTTTAATTCCCACCACTGGGAGCAACACTAAAACGATGTTGCCGTAGTTTATAAATCAGATTTCAAATTAAATGACATAAAAAGCGTTTGGTCGCATTAATTTTTTTTAATAATCTATATTAATTTCTATAACAGCAGGAAAATTTAAAGGAAACTTATACTTTTAGATCAAACTTAGTTAAATCTGTTGTTATTCCGATTTCATGTTATCGCAAAGTTTTAGAATAGTTTTCTACACTGTTCCAAATCCTGCAAAAATCCACTATTAATCGTTATAACTTTTGTCGATTTTTTTAGATTTAAAGAATTAGATAAGTTTTTGTGTACAGGGACGGGCCAAGGTTTGTTAGTGTAAAATCCTGCTGAAACCAAATGTTAATATATAAACACCGGTTTCATGGTAAAATGGTCAAAACCCATATAATTTTATATGAATATTATCGTCATATATGTATTCTCTATATGAAGTATTTCTCTTGTTTTCCTATTTTTAGTAGGCAAACAATAAACTAGATGGCAACACCGGACAACTGCAATAATGCAAACATAATAAAAATCTCACAATAACATCCATGTACATACTTTCGTGTGTGTGGATGTGTTTCGTGAAATCTCAGTTATATTTTCTGTCTGTGTTCGTTTATAAGATGTGGAATGTTACTTGCCATTGCCACAATTACTTGCAACATCCACAATGCTTGCTGCTTTTGTTGGCTGGCGCCTGTTGGTGGTGTTCTATGCTGGCATTCTGTCTATGTTTGTGTACGAGTATTTACTGCTTTTGAATTGTGAATTTTTCGAAATGTAACTTTTTCTTTCGTTTTTGTCTGTTTTAATCTTAAAATAAATGCATGCAAAGACAGTAATGAGTGTTGTTGTGTGAAAAAGGCGATATTTGTTATAGAGATGTAATTGTTGAAAATTCGAGCGGGGGAAAGATTATATCCTATCCCATATCCAAAAATATGATTTTTAAACTTTCACTATGTCCACTGCATTAAACCACATGCACACTTGAGGATTACAGTTTTCCTCCTGAAATCTTAAAATTTGTGCTGAATAGTTACGTTTCAGAAATATTTTTTATAAGAGTATTTGCAATATTTATCGTATTAAAACCCAAATTGTCTTCGACGAACTTATCAAAAATATTGATGAAATTTCCTGAAAATGTACTCAGACCACTTGATCATCAACATAGTCACAATGTTGCTAAGTGTTCGATTTTTTGGGATAGGGTTCGTGGGTTTACACAACTTTATTGCCATTAAAATAGGCATAGCAATTGCCAGCAGTCCATTCCCCTATCCTACCGAAAATAAAATCTGAATGGCAAACTCTATAACTCATATGTCTGTGAATGTGAATATCTGCCCAAACATCTTCGAACATACATTCATTTATGAATTCATTGTTGAAAAACAGAACAACTCAAACTGCAATCCGAAATTTTCTCTGTTGTTTATAAGTGCAAGTTGGTAAAGGATAATTTAACAATTCCCTCTACCACACATACAGTGTTTAAAAACGTTGAATGAAATCATTGCCTCGCCAAATGTTATTCTACATTAAATTCCACCCGATTGTATCACTGTTCCCGACAATGTGCTCCGCATATGGTTTTCATATTCCGATTGCAGCATGAGTTGCTCATGCATTTGTTATTGTTAATGTTCCAACTGAGATTTGCCCAAAAGAAGAATGAAAAAAAATTTGATTTTAATACAGCTCCGAAAGTGATTTTCTTTTTCTTTCGACTGGGTTTTGTATTCTTTTATTTTCTGTATTGTAAAAATATATCTGTCTAGTTGTGGTGCTCTACTGTGAGGAGGACTATCATATTGGCGATTCAACACATATTTGCCAAGTACAAAACACATACTACCTTATAATATTAAAATAAAATGTTGGTTTATAGATTCCAGTGGAATTCATGTTAAAAAATGATACCTTATACGTTGGGTAGTGGCCTATTAGTGTCTGTAAACGACAGATTGTTTTCGAATATATTGTTTTTTAAAAGAAAAATAATTTTGTCACACTTTCGAAACAAATAGAACCACAACATTTCGACTTAAGCTACCACAAGTCTACACTTTCTTCAGATCCAAAATATTTGCCATTTTGTTTGCTTGCAAGAACGCTTCCCCAAGTATTTGCCTGTTGTATCGACATAAAAAAAAATTCACAAGGATTTTCACCGAGAGTGAATGTTATCTCGAACACCCCACCCATAAATGCAAGTGTATGTACGATTATTTTGAACATTGCTGTTTGTGTTTGTGTGTACATTTACACAAAATGTGCATAAGTATTTATGAATGAAGAAAATTTTGTGGAAAAACTAAATAGATTTTTATCTTCTTCGAAATTGCTTTACATAAAAATAATAATAAAATGTAATGAACGAATCGAGTAAAGAACGATAGAACAACGAGTAAGAGCCTGCAAAAGCGAGATGCACACAATCCAACGATGGAAACAAACAAACAAACAGACAAAGGCAGACACCAGTGAAGGATTCTCTATAAGGAATTGAAGGCAAGAAATGGCATTGCCAAACAGGAAACTTTAAATTAAAATAATTATTTTTTGAATAACATAGTTTGTTTCCTTAATATTTCTTCTATTAGAATAAATGGATATCATTCAAAACAGAATTTGTGTCGTAAATAAAATACAACAATAACACTTGTGGTATTTAATATAATTGTTTGTTCTTCTTCTTCTTATTTTCGGCTCATGTTTATTGACATTTTATATAAAAATGAGCATCATAGATATGGGGTTTGTGCAATAAGATCTGCAAAATTCAATTAAAAATAAGGCATTGCTTGTATTTCTAGGATGCTTTGTATTACAAATGCTATATATCGGGCCTTTTTGTTATACATAGTAAATATATTGGTTACCGTTATGTGGGGGCTATACATAACGGTAACTCCAACATTCGGTTTTTGGGGATGTTGATCATGTTTTCAACCGAATTGACTGTTTAGACAATCTCTAATACCGCTCAATAACGCTCAGTATGTTTGTAATGTTGGGCACGTTTTTCAATCGAATCGGTTGTAATTGTGTATTTTGGAATCTAATTGGTATAAAACCTACCTAACAAAACCTATGAAAATTGGTAAAATATTGATTATTAAGCAAAAAATATTATTGAAATGGATGGCTATCGCAATCACCGGACCTGAACACAATAGAAAACTTCTGATCAATTGTAACTTCAATCTGATTAAAAATTTGTGGTATGTTGTTCCACATACAAGGCACTCCTTGGAGCAGATATGGGTCTTCGAGGATTAAGTCCTACATTTCCAGAGCAATGTTGTTTTGGTCGAAATTAATCAATTAAGCAATCAGATGGATCACAAACCAGCCTATTTTTTACTTCATCCCTAACCATAACCCTTTATTCGCTTTCGGTCATAATTATTTTTAGTAAAGTGATCAGCAATGCCATTGTCTCCTTGATGGACACAAATTATCAGAATAATTTTCTACCTCGTGGGAATATTCCTCCATACATATCAAGTGTAATAATTGTATGACAGTCACATAAACGACAGTGAAGTTCATTAAAGTTCAAGTGAAATTGTCTGGCACTCAGCTATCACAGCGAGCAGTACAAATGAACTCGTATTTAAACAATTGAAACCCAAACAGAAATTAACAAGCGGCAATAATCCCCATACAAACTCCTGCCACCCCTCCCCCCATGAAGTACTCGTGCTTGGCTGGCTACAGTGTCATTTGCAATTTTCCCAACTGCAATTAACATTTGCTCTCCCGTCATTTAGTTAATCTCTGTTTATATACATTTTAAACTCTTTTCCATGGCTTTTTAGCCTTTGCAGTATTTTTAATATTTACATAATAAATAATAATATTGACATTACACTCGAATACTTTGTTTTCGCTAACGAAACTAACTTTGGACGTTTTTTGTTTTTTTTTTTTTTTATTTTTTTCTTCTATTTTAAAAATAATGTTTTCTTCTTTTTTATCGTTTCAGAGGATTCGGCTTCATAACATTCAGTGATCCAGCGAGTGTAGATAAAGTTTTAGCTCAAGGTACACACGAAATAGATGGTAAAAAGGTAAAGACAACAACAACTCTTTCAAATATGCATAATATGCACTTTTCATTTTCCCGCTCACCCTACCAGTCTGATCATATTCCCCATCTATTTTCATTTGGTTTGAATGTATTTGTAATTTTAAGCAGCAGACAAGTGGTGTCGTTGTTTTTTCTGTTTCTGGTCCACAGTCCCGCTTGTTTTTGTTTCGTTAAATGCTATGAAAATATTTACTAATGAAAAGGAAACGAGGAATGTTAACATCCACATATGTGGCAAATGTCAGATATCAGTTACAAAGGATGGATGGCCTTACCTCTGGTACATGGCCAACTCGCTTATCCACATTGCACACAGTCAGGTCGTCACAAAGGATTTCGGTTGATGGTAAAAAAATGAAACCAAAAAAAAAGTTATGAAACTACGTTGCTGGTATTGAATTTTGACGTCAACTCATGTCCCGTTACTGATTGACAAGTTTTAATGTTTTAATTTCTATGTTTGTTCAAAGACAAAGGAGTTTTTGTTCTCCTGCCGAGTTACCTTTTTTGGTTCATTTCTAATGTTTGGTAAGCGGGACGAGGTAGTGGTTCGTCAGGTGGAAAGGCTTCAGAAAATTGTTTGTAAACAATTTTAATTACGACACTTTATGTTGGCAACAAAAGCTTCCAAGCAGAAGAGAAAAACAAACATGAACGAATTTGAACAACAAAAAAGAAGATAAATACCTGTATGGGTAGCCGAGAACACAGGAAGTCTTATGGGCAAAGTTGCTCAGATAACAACCACAGCCATAGAATTTTCACTTTCTTTTTTATTCGCTTCTGCCATTTTCAAGTTTTAATAATTTTTATTTGAGTAAAATTTTCTTTCAAGAAATCAACCAGAGCCTCTAGGCGGTTTCTTAAACCTTTTATTGCTTTTTCGAAATCGCATTTTTGTACGGCATTGAGTAAAACAAGTATTAAATTCTATCCAGATTTTAAAGGGCACCAATATGTTTATATCTTTTTAGATGTAGGGGTTTTAAAGAGTGTTCTGCTGGACATTTGAAATGTGTTAAACGTTCAAAAGTTCCAAAGGAATTTCTATTCATATTATTAACATTGTTCACAAAATGCTGTTGGATAAATAGTTCGGGAGTAATCATCCTCCCCCAGGTCATTTGATAATGACACCAAAGATCGGTTATATATCCAAAAGTTGTTTCACGTCACCTTTTTTGGGTTGCTTTCTTATACAGGATACCATGTTTAATATACGCAGATTCCGACAACAACAGCCTGGGCTTTCAAAAAATTCCCATGCCGTCATATCACTTGATTTTATACATATTTATCATGCTGGAAAATGGTTCAATCTATTAAAAATATATCGAAAATAATAATCGGTCCACTTCAAGTATTTTAATATAACATCACTAATAAAATGTGGTCTAAATTTGTGATTTTCCATTTTAGTGGTTATAAGAGAAAAACTACGCATAAATTTATTGTTTTAATAAACAATAAAATTGTAAAAAATATTTACTAACTTGTAGTATTGTTTATTTTCACATTGACATTTAGCATTGTTGAATAGTTCTCAATGTTTATTAAAAAAAAAACTCCAACAAATATAAATTGATTTTGTTTTTCTGCTCAAACTGATTTCTAAATCTGAATCATTTGTGCCACTTTAATATTCAGTGTTGATTGCTATCACAGCTTTTTTCTCTCTCTCTCCCCCATTGATATTCACTCATTTGGAAACATATTTTTTGCATTATTTATTCATCAGCGTTTCCTCTGCTTTCCGCATTTTAATTTCATATTCAATTTCAGACTAAATCTCCATTGGTCGCATGGAATGCGTCGTCCTCTTCCGAGCAATTCAGTTATACCGTTTTTTATTTTTTAATTTTCTCCATATCCGTTTATGTTTTTAATATCTCTTCCATTCTTTCAACATCACTTTTTGTTGTTGTTTTTTTGTTTCCTCTATCGGTATTCTATGTGGATTTCGTTGTAGGTTTATTTATCTAAATACTTATAAAAAACGAAACGAAATGAAACACCAACACCATTATGCCGTTGATTAGTTTTTATTTAAATCACTAACAACAAAATTTAGTACGCTTGTCAGGTTGGCAACCAACACAGGCACACATCGAATACTTCACACTTAGCCAATCAAACTCGCACAAAATCGATTTCCTCAATTTCAGAATTTATTCAGCATTTTTAAGCGGAAATCAATTTTCAGGGTATTTTTTTTTTAGATTGGGGGGAACATTTTCGAGGGAAAATATATGTATATTTATGACTGCTATGTAGGCAGTAAATTGTTCAATAAATATCAGCAATTGCACAGTGGTAAAGTTATTTTAGTCATTGCCCAAAAGAGGAACCAAACTAGTCCTCGAAAATACATTAGGGCAAGAGAATTGTGGCAAATACTCACATAAACCCATATTTCTAAAAATATCACATCATTCCCCTTTGAGCTCAAATCACCTAACACACACATATATTTTTCGAATTGAACATTTTCTGTTAAATTCCAAGACGATTTAGTCCTCTATCCCCTGGGTCCTAATGTCTCCGTGTTAGGGAGTTTAGTGTGCATGTTTCGTTCTGTTTACGTTAATTTCATTAAAAATCAAAACATGTTTCTTACGAAAAACTTTTCATTTCCATATGAATTTTTAGTAGTTCTGCTATGTGTGTATGTATGTTCATGCGTGCTATGCCGTGCTGTGCATATGTTTGTAATAGAAGCACAAAATGTTTCGTTTCTATTTGACAAGACCCTGTGTTTGTTTTTATTTTTATATTTTAGTTAATAGTTAATTGCTGTATGTGATAGCAAAAGGGAAAAAGGGTTGCGGAAATGGGTTATATTCTAATAACACAAGGATCACAAGTCGTGTTGCCACCGCCAGTCATCTTAGGTGGGGCAACTATTAAAGTTAGACATTCTATGTCAATATTTTACGGGGGCAAAGTTTACTTTCTACTATTGTCATCGCAAAATATTAAGACATTTTTAAAACTGAAATATTTTAAAGTCGTGAATTATTATTTTTTAACGTCCAATGTGCAAAATAATAATAAAAAATGTAGAATTCAACTACTAATAGTGTGAATGTGCTATAAGAGGATTAATAAAATTATTAACACATACAGTTTGGAACAAGTACCTCAATCAGTCCATTTATATGAGACAAATAAAGTTTTTAAAAGTAAGGAAAGGAAAAGTATTTTCTATGTATCAAATCGGCCATATGATGAGAGCATAAAAATAACGGACTTACGTTTGATTGGATCATTTCTGTTTAATTTTATAAATCTTTTAAGAAACTCACATAGCTTGAGAGGGTGAGGATTTCCAAAAATTGAGGTTAAATAATTTTCAATTGAGAAAATAGATCGTCGAAACATTTCCATTTATTATTTTCAAATTTCAAAATTATTACAAATCTCTAAAGATGCTCTGCAAACTTTTCCAAAACCTGACGTGTCGAACTAATGTGTACCGTGTATGATTTTTGGCAAATCATACCCTTAATTTATTAATCCGTTAAGTTTTGTGTTTGAATCAATTAATTTTTCTTTCTTTGTTGTGGCACATTTCAAAAACATTCTTGGCCAAGAAAACTATCCCTCAATCTATATTTACTAATGATTTCTTAAGGGTTGTCATGTTAAGGGTTTAGTAAGAGATTTATTTGTATGATAAGCAAAAATAAAAATAGGAACTAGAACACATTTGAAATTTGAAAGTGATTGTGGCCATCACATACTGCAATTTAGGAATTCGGAAAGTCATGGTCATAATGATAAGAATGACAGATAAATCAATGTTTCTATACCGTTTCAATTATCTATATTATTTATAAAAATTTCGAATGTAATTTGTGTAGTTTTCAAGGTAGCTGAAATTATTGTCTAAGGTAGATAAAATTGTGTTGTTGTATTAAATTCAGTAGACTGAATATGTTGAGTATATCCCTATCTATCGTATTCCTAATTATTTTTTGAAATGTTTATTACAATAACTACTGCTGTAAGCTTTTTTTAAATACAGGTTTTATTATTATTTATGAGTCAAATAAAAGAAGATAACCTTTTTCCCAGAAAAGTGTGCCATTAAAATGTTATGCTTATTTGACAAAAAGAAAATTAAATGTTTTCTAAATTTTATTTGGGATCTAAGCAATTTATTCTTACAAGTAATCTTCTTCCTTTTCGTTTCGTTCTTTCGTTGCAGGTCGATCCAAAAGTAGCATTTCCCCGAAGAACACATCCCAAAGTAAGTACAAAATAATTGATGATGGTATTAATAATAACAACAAAACTCATAAAAATATTTTGTTTTAAACTAAGAATTGAAATGGAGAGATATTCAAGTAGACATACAAACATCATTACAATTTACCGAAACACTTGTTATGTACAATGAATAGTTAAGATAAGATTTAAGGCGATGAAAAATGTGCTCTGTGAGATTGCATTATATTTTCTCTAGGGTACTATGAAGATAACTGTTGTTGTTTTTAAATGCGATTTAACATATTCATGTAGTATAGAGTAAAATAATGTAGAAAAGTTGTGGATTGTTGCTCTGTCTCCGATAGTATTGAATATCTACAAAATCAACAGCTTCAAGCCTAAAGTCTCAAATTGTAAGAAATATAAGTAAAGTATGTAGCTTCGAAAAAGCAAATCTGACAACCACTCAATCTTAAATCACATGTGTATCCTACATTTTTCATTAGAGTAACTTCGGGTAATGTGGACTCCATTTTCCTTTTTTTTTTGGTATTGTTGACATAATAATGCAAAAATATAGGGGTTCCTGTTTTGGAATATCTCCAATTTAAGGGAACCGCACCATTTGCGGTATTTAGAAGGTGCTAGCTTCATTTTCAAGCATTTTTTAAGATATGTGGGTGGTCCACATTAGACGCATAGTTCACATTACCCGAAGATACTCCATATTTGGGCCCTGTAATACGAACACATAAACCCAGAATACTATATATGGGCAATATTGCCAATTTTTTAATATTCCATTTTCAAAAAATAAGCTTTTTTGTTTTTGTGGCACATCTATGATTTTTGGTACTCATATAGTGAAAAATGTTCTGACTCCGAAACCGTTCGCGATCAAATTTTTGGTTGATGCGCGCAAAAGTTATCGAGGTTTTAATTTTGGGCATAAGAAAAAATCTTAAAATTACGCCATTTATTATATTGACCAAAAACGTTGATATATATCTTCCTCCATAAAATAAGAATATGAATATATTATAATAATCACGATAAAGTTGCACATATTCGCGAAATATGAGAAAAATAAAAAATATATCAGATTACATCAATATTTTCATTATATTAATGTCATGTATCATCCTAAAAATGAATTTAAAAATATGTACATAATCTAAACACCATGGCGAATCAAATGATATCAAAATCACACAAGTCCGTGTAGCGGTTTCTAAATCAAAGCGACATCAAAACAAGATATTGAGGAAAAATATTTGTTTTTGGTTCGAAAAAATAATGTCATCATATTAATTTTTTTAATTGTATACAAGAAATTTGAGAAAAAAATGTTGGGGTTATTCTGCTATTTTACCCGAATTTCGCCGAAAAATTTACATATATAATAATAATCACTTTTTGTGTATAAGTATACGCCTTGCGGATTATATCAAGACCCTTCCGATAAATCTTAGAATTCTATAAATAGGAATAAATGTTAAAATAAAATAATATTATGAAATATACATTTTAAATTGCGTGTAAATCGCGTAATTCTCAAAATCATTTGATGCGCATGCGGTTTCTAGGAAGTACTGAAGTTTGTCTTCCAATCCATATATATTTTGCGAAATTTTATTTGACGGCTAAGATGTGCCGCACGTTACATTGAAGTACCCAAAAAATCGTAAAACGCGAATAATTTCCGAAATCTCTATATGCCATTAACGCGCATCCGATTTCGGTGTGCACCCTAAAAAAATACATCGATCTATACCGATTTCAATGTGGTCCATTAAGAACCATGGATGTGCCAGCTCACACTATTTTTGAGATAAATTGGGTACATCTCTCTGAAGTTTTTAAAGTTATCTTTTCGAAAAAGATCAAAATCCGTATGAGGTCATTTATTGAAGCGGAAATGATACACAGAAAACGCAAATAAATCCGCCATATTTTCAAAAACATTTTTTGCCAAATTTCGTGTTTTTGGAAGGCCAGTTCCCGCCGTTCTAGTAGATGGATTTTCACGAAGAAGATTTTATATCATCCGAAACGTAAAAAACCTTATTGATCGCGGGTATCCATATCATTCAGTTGACAGATCTAAAAATTTGGCCCGAAAATTAGGTTTTTTAGAATTTTGATCGCACAAAATTTGCACCTTCGGATGAGTATTACTCTGAAGCTGTGCATATTACATACACAAAATACATATCAAATTACGCAGATTCGCGACTACAATAATCTTTTAACCGATTTTTAGAAATTCCTGTTTGTGTATTAAAGCTAGAAGTAAAGTTAAAAAAACACTCAAAATCGAACTTCAAAATGTCAGCATAATTTAAAGGTAGATTGGGGGCGTAGTCCCCATTTTGTTGACTTCTAGTTTTCTTTTGACACGAAGACCGTGCAATGAGTGGCTTAGTCACAAATCGATAGAGAACAAAAAAAAAACTGGTTCGCCTCAACCTGTTTTTACACATTTTTTTTCATTAAAGTAGACACAGGTTCCACCAAGATAAAGTTTGGAGGTCAATATCATGAACAGTTTGCAAGGACAGATCAATTAACCCAAAACTATTCACTTTTTTTCATATACTTAAGTAGTTCCCGAGTTATAAAGGGGTGAACCTCCGCTTCAGCTATGTTAAAGTTCAATATTGCCCATATAATAATATCTATTATATCCGACAATTTATATTAAGGCGTTGTCAACCGTTTTAACCGTACGACGTTGTGGTAAGAAGTCTTGATGCACCAATACCATTGAAGTCGAAGAAAACTGTAAGCAAATTCTCAAATTTGACTGATCTCGACGGGCGTTTTTCGGCTTTCCTTAAACCGCTTATATTTATGCCACAATTTAACTTGTTTTCTGCTCATTGTAGACTCGCCAAAAGCCAAAGTGAACATTTTAATTGTCCCTGCGAATTGGCGAAATCAACCGAGCATTAGTCATTCACCATTCAGGTTATTTTGGATCAGACCACATATATCTCTTACATTGATAACCAGAATAAGGATTACAGCGAACATTATTTGTACTATGATATTTACACGATTTATGTATTTCCTATAAATCGATAGCATTTTCCTAACGAAGGCCTCCAACACTACCCCACAAAGGTTCAAGTGTCCTTCTTCGCTACTTCAGAGTTGGCGCATCTTTTTCTTGCTACATTTTTGGTCTACCCAACAGAATCGAAAATATTTGGTTTTCATTCGTAGACAATTATATAATAACCCCAGTACAAATGTTCGTTGATGGCATTTGCTTATGGGTATGTGTTTGCATTAGGAGAGGATATATTTCAAAACAACAACATAGTCAGGCATTTAAGAAACATAAATCCTCCAGTTAACTGACTGCTTATGAAAATTACAAAAAATTTAAATTATTAACTTCAGCCAGCAGAAAACCCCCCAAACAACGAAATAAAGTTAACTTACAGGGTGGAACTAAAATATGTATACCAATGATATATTTTTTGCTAATGTTTTTTGCCTGCAGTAGTTTCTTTTCTAATACGTAAAAATTTCAGTTCATCCACAGTGGATTACTGTGAATCTGTCATCCAATGTTAATTTACAACAAAACAAAAACTATCCACACACACGTTTAAATGTAATCTTGTAACTCACGTGCATCCTCGTGTTATGGTTAGCCTGTAAATTGTAAACGACCTTGTAAGTAATCCTCATAAAATCCTCATTCTCACACATATTTAAACATAACTGTTTATGCAATAATAAAATAAAATGAAAACCCTTAATTTCAACAAGCCATGCTCTTAGAGGTCGCTAGGTTTTTCATTGCCCCTTCAAGTGTTCAGCTTTTCATCGTTCTCCCCCTTTACCAGCACCATCACCCTCGGCAGCCAGTCACATTACCACGCACGCATCTTTACCACCGGGGTTCGTTTCATTTCACAATTCTGCGACATAACAGACGGATAGATACGGAGGCAAGAGTTTTATCAGCGGCCGAAAAAAAAAAACAAGAAACGGAAATGCCACAAAAACAGCATGTTGTTGTGGCTAAAAAAGAGGATTCTTGAAAAATACAACACATACATATACACATACACAGCTACAGAAGCAGAGCCGCATTATGTTCACTCATTCAAAAGGAGGCAACATACGCAGTAGACATACGACTCGACGTGGTTGCTTCGCTGACATTATAGCGAAAAGTGCGAAAAAATATTGCCACAAAATGTTGGTGAAATGCTGGTGTTTTTCATTCATTCCCGGGCTGTATCTGCAGTTGTTGTTGTTGTTGGCGGTGGTGTTTTCTGGCCCTTATATCATCTCCTTAGTGTCTTTCCTTTTTCGCTCGATTGTCGTTGTTATTGCCGTTGTTGTATACTCGAGCATCACCAGCAGGAATGTTAACAGATTTGGTATGGTTTTTCTACTTACGCGCAAGCACAAAAAACATCGTCCAACGTTTAAGAAAATAAATGACAGCAAAAAATGAAGGACTAAAGAAGACATTTAAAAGCATCCATACTCATGGAAAAAAGCACGCACTTGCAAACTCACAGACACACACACACACACACTTTTGGCATATTAAATGTCCGCCTTCGTGTTGTTGTTGTGAAACACCGATATAAATTTCAACTGTTTTTAAACGCAGCTTCTGAACATAAAATGCAGATGAGCCAAAAACACTTTAGCCACAAAATTATGTTCTCCCACCGTTCGTTGATTTTTTATCTAATTTTTAAATAGTCATAATAATTGCCTTTAACGACAGAATATTGCCCTGCTATTGGGGGCAATGCTAGGGAATTTGGGTTTTTTTGGAATTTATTGTATAATTTTGTTGAAAATGCAGAAAATGGAAAATGAAAACATGTTTTAAATTCGAAGATATATTATCTTATTTGCTCGGAGTGTTGATATATTTGAGGTTGCGAAGTAATATGTTTCCAAAATAGAGGCAAAACATGTTTTCGACAATTTTATATAATTAAAATTTATTTATGATAGTGTTGTATGTACAGTTGGCAGGGGCGTTTTGAGGATTTTTATCATAAAACCGGTATATTTATATA